CAAAAAAAGAAAGACCGAAACTCGCGGCAATTTTTCCAGCCGTGCTTGTTTGCCAATGTGGTGTTCATTCAAATGCAATTTTTCATCTGAACATAGCTAAAATCTCAGCCAAACATCAGAGTTTTGATCTTAAACAACAAAATCACAGAGGTTCAATCATCTAAAGGTGCAAGCTTTTGGCAAGGAATTTCTGCAACAATAAGAAGTCTTCAAAAACCAACCGAAACTTTGGGAACTTCAGCAGCCTTCGACTAAGCTTGAGCAAAACATTTTTAGATATTCATGTGTGGAGGAAAAAAAAAAATGCAGCAAGAGTAGGAAACTCATTGTGATCATGTACATGGCATATCGATAGAACCACAAATTTCAATCAACCGAAGCTTCAACAATCGAAAATACAGGCCTGCTGCATGGTTCCTTTCCAAGCCTGCAGCAATTTTCCAGCTGACTTTATCCGTTACATTATGCAAACAGGCTTATCAAATAACAGAAATCCACTTATCCATCATTGACTGGGTATGCCACTTTATTGCAGGATTAAAACAAAGAAATGAAGCCGATCATCAAGGATAAAAAGTAAACATCCAAAAGAATGAAGAAGAAAAGAAATGCAGCGATGGTCTTCATAACATCAAAACAAAGGTGCGGCTCAAACATTTTTCTGTCCTTAAACTAGAATCTGATCATAATGAAACCACCATCCACCAACTGATAAGCTTTAACGCAATCAAACACCAGCTAGGAGAATAAAAAGACAGGGACATAGACATGAAGGTAGTCAAAGAGGAAACGGAACACATACCAACGGAGGCAAGTGTAGCTTGGCCAATTTATTGCTGTATGCTTGGTGCAGATCTGCTGAAAGCAAATAGAAGGCTGCAATGATGACAATGGACTCTCGACTTCAATGGCTGGTGAAGCTCTTTCCTTCCTTCACCGTCTCTCTCGCTTACTCCCTCAAAATCTCTCTTTTTTTGTTAGTTTCAGATCTTCCTCCTTCCAAAGTTCCCCTCTTTTGCTTTCCCTTGCTTCATTTTTCCTCACAAGATCCTCACGGCTAAAACCTTTCCTTCTTCCTTTTCTTTTTCTTTCGCTGCTAGTCCCAAATCCTCTCTCTCTTACTCAGCCGCTCTTTTTCCTATCCTCTCCAGATTTGCAGCCGTTGCTCTCTTTTTTTTGTCCCTCCTCTACAACCCAGCCGTATCCTTTCCTCCTCTGCCCTCTGTCAAAACCCCTCTCCCTTTGCGGCTGTCTCCCTCTTTTCTATTTATACCAGGAACCCCCTCCTAAACCCTTAGCACTCTTCTATATTTTTTGCAGATAAGGGCTGCCCCAATGCTCCTTTTGCAAGCTGCGGCAAAACGCAGCTTGCATGCCGCAGGATCCTTTTTTTTTTTTTTGATTTTAAACTTAATAATTTAACAAAAATAATAATAATAAAACTAAATAATAATAAAACAACAATTTTAATCAAAATAAACAAACTAAAAATAACAAAATTACCATTTTCGATCTTTTCTTTCATTTTTCATCGTTTTCCATCATTTTTCTTCCTTTTTTCCTTTTTTCCAAAATAAATTAACGAAAATAAACCAAAATGCCAAAAGATTGAATTTGAACGTATTTTTGTGAACAATTTTCCTTTTTTTCTCTTTTTCATGATTTTTCTACGCTAAAACTTAAAAATAAAAATAAAAACTAGAAACTAAAAAAAAACTAAAAGCAACCACGACAAATGAGAATAAAAAGTAAAAGAAATTACACCAAAAATTTGGTGTCTACAGTTTGCCCCTTTTTGTCTGAGTTTTGAAAAAAATTGAGACAAAGAAGTAGACACCAAATGCTTACCCGGGGTCATTCGGCTTCAGCTACTCGAACGACTGCTGTTATTGACATGAGGACTGACTCCTTTTTATGAAGCTGACTCGGACGAGAAATTTAAAAACGGGATAGACCCGAACTGGAAGTTTAAAACAGGACTGACTCGAACAGGAATTTAAAAACAGGATAGACCCGAACCGGAAGTTTAAAACAGGACAGACCCACGGGATAGACCCGGACAGAAATGTAAAATTGGGATAGACTCACGGGATAGACCCGAACAGAAATTTAAAATTGGGATAGACCCACGGAATAGACCCGGACAGAAATGTAAAATTAGATGAATTGAAGTGAGATGGAGTGTTGGTGGGATGAAAACACGCACATTAGTGAGATAGACTCGATGTTAACGGCGATAGAAATGAAAACACGCACGTTAGTGAGATAGACTCGATGCTAACGGCAGTAGAATGAAACACGCACGTTAGTGAGATAGACTCGATGCTAACGGCGGTAGAAATGAAAACACGCACGTTAGTGAGATAGACTCGATGCTAACGGTGGTAGAAGTGAAAGCACGCACGTTAGTGAGATAAACTCGATGCTAACGGCGGTTGAAATGAAACACGCACGTTAGTGAGATAAACTCGATGCTAACGGCGGTAGAAATGAAACACGCACGTTAGTGAGATAGACTCGATGCTAACGGCGGTATAATGAGAACACGCACGTTAGTGAGATAGACTCGATGCTAACGGCGGTAGAAATGAAAACACGCACGTTAGTGAGATAGACTCGATGCTAACGGCGGTAGAATGAAAACACGCACGTTAGTGAGATAGACTCGATACTAACGGCGGTAGAAATGAAACACGCACGTTAGTGAGATAGACTCGATGCTAACGGCGGTAGAATGAAACACGCACGTTAGTGAGATAGATTCGATGCTAACGGCGGTAGAAATGAAAACACGCACGTTAGTGAGATAGACTCGATGCTAACGGCGGTTGAAGTCAGTAAATTAAAATGTGGTTGTCAAGAAAAGAAGTATAAGGGTGCGCGGCGGACGCTAAGCTTTGCCAACAAGAAATGAAAAATGGATTTTCAAGAAATAGGAATTTGATTTTGATTTTTCTTTTTCTGATTTTTTTTTGTTTGTTTTTTTTCTGATTTTTTCTTGTTTCTTTTTCTGATTTTTTGATTTTTCCTTCTTTCTTTTTTCTGATTTTTTGATTGAGAGAGACTTGTGGAAATAATTTGCCCCAGTGATGAATTGGTCAGTGGGATTAACCCGAGCCTGCCCAATGAAATTTTTGAGATGTTGGCGGCACCAAGTCCAGGCCCAATAGGATTTTTGTGAAGTTGGCGGCACGAAATCCAGGCCCAACGAGATTTTTGAGATGTTGGCGGCACCCAGTCCAGGCCCAACGAGATTTTTGAGATGTTAAGAGAAGGGGGGGAACAGAATGATGCGCGGCGTGCATTGAAGCTTCGCCCACAAGAAATCAAATTTGATTTTTCAAGAAACAAGAATTTGAACTTGATTTTTGACTTTTTTTTTTGATTTTTTTTTGAGAGAATTTTTCAAAAATAATTTGCCCCAAGTGTAGGGCCCTTTTCCCTTCTTTCTTCTCTTTCTTCGGCATCGGCCTCCCACATCACCAGATGCTTTTCTGTCATTTTGAACCATGAATTCCTGTACAAGGGGTTCATCAAGTATGACATGCATTCAAATTTCTTATTTGGAAAGAACAGCGTGATTGGTTTGATATCCTCAAATGTATTAAAAAAAATTTTTTTGCCCCAGTATGGATTTATTTCATGAAATCTCACAAATAAAATTTTTTTTTTTGCCCCAGTGTGGGCTCCCTTGATTGCAAAAATTTGTTCAGATGATTTCCCATTTATTTGAACAAAGAGAAACAGCACTTCTAAAATTTAGAAAATAGTCATATATACAATGTGAAGACACTTAACGTCGAGTTTGAACTCATGCAGAAATTTCATGATGAATTCCTCGAAGTAACACCAAATTCAAGAAGATTTCTTCCTCACTTTTAGCATTGGTGCTTAGGGTAACGGGTCACCACTTCTGGTTGACTCATCTTTTCAGGACCAATCAAATGACTTTATTTTTGAAATGACTAAGGAAATGGGAGGTCAGAATCTATCTTTTTTTTTTTTTTTTTTTTTTTGTGCCCAGTCGTATGTAATCCATTCAATGTCACATCTTAGTGAAAGCAAAGAGTTTGTCACCCTCATTTCTTAAGAAAATTGAGTCAACATATGAGCTTTAAGCTTGCAACAAATGGGTAGAAACGATAGCTAAACATGCGAAAATTGGTTATACCCCCATGATCACAAATGATTGATGGATTTCTTATGAGCATAATACTCACTTTGGATTGTCATGAAGGAATAAGTCAACGATGGACTTTGTTAGCTTGTAATGTGGCTTGAAAACGATAGCTAAAGAATAAAAACTTTCAAGGACATAGCAACGAAGATCGCATTTTCCCAAAATTGCCCCTATTTTGAACTCGAAGATTCTGAACTTTGTTCGATCACTCAATAGGGACTTCACCATCGAATCCTTTGTATTTCATTTTTCCTTTTTGCTTTTCCGTTTTCTTTTCTTTGATCTGGTGGGTTTTCCATGGTGAGTAGCGTCAGCCTCCATACTCAAGCAATTCAGAAATACAGCTAAAATTTTCCGGCATCAGAAATTTTCTTGACAGGGCCATTGCAAAGAACAAAAGTCAGGACTTTCGGCTTTTGTAATGGGGTCAGGTGGGGTGTTTAGAAAAGTTAAGGCTTGAAAGCAGATTTCAAAAGTGGTTTGAAGAATCTGAGATCGCATTGTTGCGCCAACCCTATTTTAGGGTTAAATCAGAATTTGCCCCAGTTTATTTGTGAACTGAGGTTCTCTTTTCTTCTTTTGTCTTTTGAATTTGTGGCTTTTCACTTTTCCACTTTTTGAAGTTTTCCTTTTCAACTCAAACTTGCCCCAGTGTGGGGTTTGCGATTCTCAGGGGTTGCCAAACGAAGCAATTTATTCTGAAGGCTCAAAAGGGATAACTAGGGATAGAATGCTTGATCGGAAAAGAAGAGGGCCTGACTTTTAATCCGTTCCTTACAATAACTCTGAAAGGAAACTTGAATAGGTTAATTATGTTTGGTCCAAGCTGGATTTTGATTGTGGTGTAATCTTGGAATGTCTTGATATTGTCTTATAGGTTGTTGGTTTGGTAGGGACTCGTATGTGCATATGGACGCGTACTGGGACAAGAAACATATTTTCTTCTCGTGATGGCATGTTTACCAAGGGATTGTGCATGAGGTGCGTGATAATAATAGCATTATCAATCACAAGAACATTCATTTACAAGAGTATGACCCAGTATAATTGGAATGGTGAACGATTTACAATAGGTTTTTCTCTCTCGCTCACTGGGATAATTCTTTCAAGGGTTAAAAACAAAAAAGCTCCCTGCTGTATACCTAATACACAAAAAAGTCCTCTGTGGTTTCAAAACATACGAAACGACACCTCATGTTTTGAACTAAATTGTAAACTAACAGAATTCGTTAAACTTAACGAAAATGATGGTTTCAGCTGTTAAACTTACCGGATTCCGTTAAGTTTGCCGTTAAGTTTATCGGATTCCGTTAAGTTTTCCGTTAATTTTATCGCATTCCGTTAAGTTTTCCGTTAAATTTATCGGATTCCGTTAATTTTAACGAATTCTGTTAGTTTATGATTTAGTTCAAAACATGAGGTGTCGTTTTGTATGTTTTGAAACCACGAGGGACTTTTCTGTGTATTAGACATATCACAGGGGGCTTATTTGTTTTTAACCCTTCTTTCAAACTCACTTGTATGCTGGCTTATGTTATTGACCAAATCAGGTGATACTAAGAAGAAGAAGAAGAATCAGTCTTAGGCTATGTTCTGGGTTATGGGTTCTAGGGTTTCTTCGACCCAGTTGGATCTCGTTATATTATTTTCTATAGTTGTTGGACCTATGTCAACATATTAACACGGATAATGAAAGAATTTTCTCATGCTTGCAGTTATGTGGATCCAGAAGCTGTGGTTGGGTGTGAGGATGGCAAAGCTCGTGTTTTTGACATGTATAGCAGAAAGTGTTCTCAAATTATCAAGTACGTGAATTGTTTGACTTTTAACTTGACTGATTTTGGGTTTTATTTTGATTTAATACAATCTGGGAGAAAAGAGGAAGATAAAGAAGAAGACAGAAGGAAAGAGGAGGAAGCAGCAAGAAAATGAGTGGGGGATAACCAAGGATGAACAGAAAGTTGGATAAAATTTGAAAAAAAAACTGAAGAAGAAATGATGTGAAAGACAATACGATGAAACAAAACAAAAGGAAAAGGAAAGTGATTTGCAAAATGTGAACTAAAATATTAATGAAAATTGTCTTGTTAATTTATCGAATTCTTCATCATCATTTTTGATAGGTTCCATTTTAAGTTGTATCTACCACAGTTTCTTTTTCTCTCAACACAATGACATCAGAAAATGTAACAATTATGTTATTCTTACCTTAAATCCAAAGGAAATGTAAAATTATCATTGATGAATATATCTAAGCCAAACATGCTAGTGGGTGGTGTTGGTACATTCTAATCGAGAGTTAATGATTCAGAAATCTAATTATCAAGAAAAAGTCGATAAGTTGTTCATTATGTGCTTTTAGAGGGTATTTTCATTGTCAGGGATATAATTGAGACAAGCCAGCTTTAAGAGCTCTTAGAGGTCAATTATGTTGAAGATGGGCTAATAGTTTGACTGGTTGTTTCCTTTTGTGGATTAGGTACACTCCTATTTTGTGCTTTTTGGTTCCATTTCAGATTAATTAGACATAATGGACCATTTAAGCACCCGTTCAATGACAAGTACCACTCAATCTGTGTTTTGCTAAGAGTTATGTTTGGTTTTACTTGAGAAGTGGCATTTTTTCCTATTCTAGGACAAATTTGTCATTCACTTTGTTGCTTGGCATAAATAATGTTCCAGGGCGAAAATATTTAAAACAAGGCACAGCTAGTCTTTCTTTTTCTGACAAACAGGCAAAACATGCTAGCCAATAGGAAACCATTGTTCCTCTAAAACTTATGGTTTCCTCTAAAACTCAAGAACTATGTGAGAAAGAAAGGAAAATGTGGAGAGAGAGAGAGATACTGATATTTGTTTGTAATTTGAAGCTGGAATTAAGCGATTTATTTTCTTTTCTCAAATTAAGGGATTTGTTTTCTTGATCTTCTCAACTCACGGAAAATAGTCTAAAATCTACTCCTTTTTGGTTGATTTTTTCAGGATGCATCCTGGGCCAATTACATGCTTATCTTTCAGTGATGATCAGTTACTCATTTCTGGTTCCTCTCTTGGAAGTATTTCCATGTCGGATATTTCCTCTGATCAGCAAGTAACCACACTGAAGCCACTCAGTTCTGCAGGTCTTACAATCTCTTTGTATGAGAATCCTTTGGTTGAGAAACTTTCATTCATATATATGTCCTGCATGTCTCTACGATGTTATGGATCTGTAGAGAATATTTTGTTGAACAAAAAGTGGTTAGTAGCAGATGTTTGCAACTATTCTTACCAAAGTTCAGTTTTTAAGCAGAAGTGTAACTAGAAACAGTGCAAAGGCTAAGTATCTCATTTTCCTCCTGCTAAGTCTCCAGGGACAGATTGCTTGCATGCAGGAGGAAAGTTTCAGCTCAGATTGGTATCTATTTAACTAATCCATCCTTAAGCAAAAGGGACTTTCTTTATGGGAGGCTTTTGCATTTTCTCTAGAGCTAAGCATGTATAAATGTTTAATGCACCTAAACGTTGATGTAAGGATTTTGAACCTGATTGCCTTAATTGAGCAGTATATTGTACAATGTTATTAAAATGCATTACAGAAAGAGGTTAGAAACCAAATGCCTATGAAATACTTATGGTGTAATATTGTCTTTGATATCTTCAACTCCCAAAGTTTGGAGGGTTGTTTATTGAGAAATTTCAAACAATGGTAATTGAGACAAAAACATTTTTCAATTCTTAAAGAAACATGAATAATGCTTTTCTTTTCCTGCTTGAATAACATATGCCTAAAGGGAAAAGATAAGAAGCAAGACAACTTTTCATATAGTAACTAAGGATCTAGAAAGTTGTAGCATAGTAACTAAGGATCTAGAAAGTTGTAGTTATCCTTTAACATAGCTAATTGGTTTATGTTACTCAAGTTGGTGCCCCTGTGGTGTTTCTCTGGGGAGCTAAAACAAAGTCCTATTAGAAAAACTCTTTTCTTCTTGTGATATTGAATTGAGAATTGCAACATATCTGTTGATTTTCTGACAACTACAAATTTGTTCAACAGGCATAAAGACATTGTGCTTTAACCCTCGCTCCAATCTACTGTTTGCTGGATCAACTGATGGCCATGCATCTTGTTGGGATATTAGGTACGAAAAAGACTTGCAAGAAGCAGATAAACATTTGAACCCATCCTCTGATATTGTCAGTGGCTTCTTTGAGGCTACTGTTTGTGGTAATGAGCTTTTGATCCGACATGACTACACGAATCTTGGCTGTGTAGAATTATGGTTCTCTTAGAACTATGAAAGTGAGAAATGCTAATGTTTGCCACAAGTTTAGGTTTTTAATTCATCTTTCTGATGAACCTTTATTCTGTCTCATGCTAATAATGGGAAATGCAAGTGCCTAAGCCCTTTTTCTCTTAGCCTTGACACAGGAGCATATTAATTCCTATGCTGATATTGAATAATTAATTGCTTAGAATTTTGTTTGATTAATTAGAGTTCTGTATAAGATTTTGATTAAGTGCTGCCGTATCTCTGGAACTGTTGTTTTAATGGTTGATGCACAGATGGTTAGCAAGTTGTCCATTTAGTAATTTTGCTGCCTATGGCAACATTGGAGTTTTGCACCCTTATTAGTAGTCCTTAGTTGGCTAATTCAGGAGCTTCCATCAGCCTGTTGACTTAAAGATCATGATTCAAATATCAGATACTTGGTATTTTGTAGTTCTTGAAACTCTTCTCTATTGGATGATTGTATAGTCTCGTTAAACTTGCTAGCTAGTGCTCCTTTGTGCACCAAGTTTTAAAGATCCTAACTGGCAGATGTTATGGAGTTGGTTGGTGTGTTGTCTAATGTTCATGTATTAAGCTAGGAGTCGAGAGCCAGAATTTATTGAAAACCCAATTTTTTAACATTCTTTTGACAGCCAATGGTAGAAAGAATTTCTATTTGGGACCAAGCATATCTGCAATGGATGCAGGATTAAGACAAAGTAACAACTGAATCAAGACATTTTAGTATCCAAAAGTAGCTTATTACGCATGAGCGAGGCCTAACTGTATTATTTGTCGACAAGTTGAGCACATGCAATAACATGACCAGCAAGGTCATTTATGTTGCGAATGTAAGGAGCACTTAGACCCATGAATGGCACTACAAACATGATCTTGATAGATCCTGCATAGCTGGTAGGGCTTAGCTACAGTCTCTGCCCTTCTTTTTGGACTTGATCATCTTTCATAGCTCTTGGATGTCCAAAATGAAATTAGTGTACCTATTATGAATGAACTGCCATAGCAAGTTTCTTTTGCTGCATTTTATTCGATATGAGGTCTTAAGATCATCAACCTTTCTAACATGATATTCTGCTTTTGAGTTTTCCATGGGCTGTTTTTGTCTGCTCAAAATAATTGCGGAGGAGGAAATCCTAGGTGCATAGCACATCAGATTTTTGTTATAAATCCTAGTTACATAACACATCAGATTTTTGTTATACTCTAATAATCCAGTCTTTTTGCATCAGCAGTTACATAAATGTCATCATAGAGACTCCTATGAAGCTAACCTGCAACACAGTATTGCCAGGGGCTTTAGAAATGAGAGGGAATGGGATTCGCTAAGCTTGAATTTGTGCACTTGAATTCTCAATTTCAGGGGGAGGGAGGAAAGTATATTTGCTATGATTTGTTGCAGCACTCAATTAGTTTGGCCCAATAATATTTTATTTATGCCACAATGAAATCTTGGTTTTCTGTGGAATAATATGCAAGATGAGGACTAGTTCTTCATCTGTTTGTGAATATTTCCACTATAGAAGTTTTGAGTATGTCTTAGATGTGAGTTACATTTTGTTCTCCTGTCTTGCAGGACATTACGGCGTCTATGGGAAACACGCGTTAGTCCCAACGTTCTTTATTCGATAAATCACCTGAGGAATGACACATCAACATTAGTCATTGGTGGTATAGATGGTATCATAAGAATTCTGGACCAGGATACAGGTCAAGTACTCTCAAGATGCATTGTTGACGATGCTACTGGTGTATCAAGTCGATCAAAAGACAGGCATCATCAAATCATTGAAACAAAGAAGGTGAGAAGGCTCTCTGAAGATGTTCAGGTTGATCGTCTGCCTATAGCTCCTAGACCACCTATCACGTGCTTAGCTGTTGGGATGCAGAAAGTTGTTACAATGAATAATGATAAATGCATTAGGGTGTGGAAGTTTAGAACTGATTAAATAGTTCTTCATTAAGTGTTTTAGTTTGTCCAGATGGAAATAGTCGTCGATCTGTCATAAACATTAACCCCCATGCATGGTGAAGTATGCAAGAGGCTTTGTGACAGATTTTTCTCACCATGTTGTATTTCAAGGTTACCCATATACAATGAAGAATGCAAGAGGCTTCCATAGCAGATTTTCCTGCCTTATTATATGTCAAGTATGTTATATTCAGAAACTCCATCTATGATCCATTCATAGACATTGTTTGCATTGTAAGAGTTTTGGAGGATGTTTGGTTTGTCTTCTATAAGAATATTCGGGTAAGTTGTTTGTATTCTCGAGAGGAGGAGGAGGATTTATTCGACTTAGAGAGAGAAGTGAGCTGAAGAAAGTGTGTTTAGAATGGTGAGTTTGAAGGGTATTTAGAGCAAAATTTTCATTCGGCTACAGTACTTATTGCAGTGTACAGTACTACTACAGTGCATACTACAATGTCTAGTGCAATTTTTTCTGCCGTATTTACATAGTAACTTGCCAAATTGCTACAGTATTTTCTGGTACTACAATGAATTCCTACATTGTTTATTTTTGTAAAATTTATGGAATTTGTGAGAAAATCCCATAACAATCATCTTCATTTTGTTGTAGTCTATCAAAACTTTCTTCTGAGCTTGAGGACTTTGGTTCTTGTTTAGATACTTGTGGTTTTCCTTTTGATTGGAGTTGAGAGAGAATTTGTCAATTGCTGGACAAATTCTTGTTTATCCATGATTGAGATAGTTTTGCTGTTGTAATTGACTTCTGTTGCAAACTGGCTTGTTTATAGATCTCCTGATTTGATTGATTTTGGGTTTTTCTGATGCCATGCTTGAATGTTTGCTGGTTGAATAAAGCCTGTTGTGAATGCTGGTCACCATTTCGTATACCCCTATCAAAGAGTATCATAACAAGATCTGCTAGTATGTCGAGGGACTTCCTCCTCCGGTATCAGAGTCAGAGGGGGAAGTGGAGTGATGAATGTGTTGCTTAGGTTGTTATGATATTGCTAGTATGTATCTACGAGTTCAGATCTTGCCGCCCGAACAACAAACTTTAAGAGCCTTTGAGGGCGGTTTAGACAGTAAGACAATGGGATTTGGCAATATGACCTGTAGGCCTAAATAGGTCCTTGAAGAATGATAGTACCTAGGGTGGTAAGTGGCTCTAAAGTCAGACCTGATCTTTTAGATCCATACCATCTATGTCATAATTTGTCTAAATGATATGTTTGTCCCTTATGGATTCTGAAGGATCTGTACCAAGGGGAAGCGAAACTCTACATATCTTTCGTCTTAGTATTTTTTGTTGATTTACTTATTTATCTTCGATTTTATCATTTACTTATTTAATTTTGTTATTAATGGCTTCTTTCTTTAGATCTAGTTTTAAAAATTTTATTTCTTCAAATATCTCTTGTTCAAATACTTGTTTAAAAGAAGAAATAAACATACGAGACATTAATCACGAAATTAATAACTAGGAAATTCTTAGGTATCAAGAGCATGAAATATATCAAAATAGTAAACAATGGAAAATCAGATATGATTAGTTGAACAAACTATTGCTCTAAATGCTGAGCATGAAAAAATCGAACTCTTATAAGAAAAAAAAAAATCCATTGAAAGGCATCAACAAAAATACAACTACATCCATTTTGGACTTGCACAAATTGTAATTAAATCCTTAACAAGGGAATGATTCAACATATCTCGACTTTGTCTACGAGATTGCATATTCTTAAATTTCAACGGCTCCTTGTTTGGAATGGTTGAAACAAGCTTATACGGAGGACCGATCTACTTCAATTGCTTTATAAACTTCAAAATATCTCTTCAGGATAGAAGAAACATTTTAGACGCATAGACTTTAAACATAAAAACAACTAACTATAAAACAAAAATTGGAACTCTTCCTGTTGCTAGTATTTACAGGATACAACACAAGGTGATGAGCTCAGTGTTCAGCACTGGAGTCTTGAAGACGGACAAAAAAAAGGAGTCCAAACAGATCTAACCAGATCTAGGATATTTATGCCTAGAAAAATCACCTAAGATGAAGCATCCCTTCCAGATGACTAGATGTTGCCGGAGATAGTTCCCAATGTATCAATCCAAAACACAACAGTTTCGAGTATCAAACAACTCACTAGTAGGATAGTTCAAATCAAGTTTGATAGATCGAGGAGCTTTAGGGCCTCTTCCTCAACCAATACCAGTATGGATATTTCAAATATTGGAAGACGTTCAACTTCTTCAATCTCTACCAGATTACACAACTTGAATCTATCCTCAAAAATCCCTCAAGCAAGATATACAATTCAAACAGAAGCTACTTCAGAAAATCAAGGAGAATCCTCTGAAGAAAATACTGTCCAAGTAGATCTTCCTGTATCTCGTATATATTCAACCACGACAAACAATCCACAGCCAACAGTGAGAGTTTTTTACTTCTGAATACCAGATCAACAAGGAGAGTCTCGGAAAAGAATTCTATACAGAACACAATCAACCAAAGAGACAGTGGTTCTTTGACAACTTCAAAGGAGAACCAAGGAAGGTAATCCAAGAAACTTTCTACAGTTTCCTAGGAAGAAAAAACAACACATTCACTTCTTTGACTGGTCCAAGATCTATGCTCTAAGGAATGAAATAGAGTACCTATTCTCGCTATCACTGTGTGTTTCAAAAAAAATGGCAAACATTAGAAGGGGAAATTCACGCATCAAGGTCCAATACTTTCTTATACAAATTCATAGAAATTAGTGCCAAACCTTTTAAACTAAAAGTCGCCTAAGAAGGAGGTCCAGTAGATGCACAAGATATATAGGAACTCTATGAGTAATATAACTATACCAACAAGTATCTACAAACCCAAAGAGAACACCTTCTTACTAAATCAAAAGCCTCTTCATGAACGAAGCATACCGAACTCATGTCTCATTACAGGATTTATAGGACAGCTCAAAGGATGGTGGGATGTATATCTCACTTCAGAAGACAAAGAGAAAATTCTAAATGTAATCAAACTAGATGCAGATGGAGAATCAATCCTACAGGTTGCTGAAACTATCTCAAATGTAGTAGCAACCCTAATATTCACAATCGCAAAAATATTCATTGGTGATCCAGGGATATTCATAGACAAGTCCTTAGAATTACTCAACAATCTCAATGCAGGAATCTTTTAGATTTTCAATGGTATAAAGACACTTTCCTGACCCGTATATACTCAAGATCAGATAGTCATGAAGCATATTGAAAAGAAAGCTCTTAGAGGGCCTTCCCAAATCATTAAGAGCCCTTGTCCGAGAAGAAATATGAAACCAATATGATGGTGTTGTACCATGGGAAACAATTACCTACGGATAACTAACTAGTCAAGTCCAACGAGTTGCTCTAAAAATTTGCAGGTCAGACAAGATGCTCAGACAATGTGCAAAAGACCAAGCACAAAGAACAAAGGATTTTGGTTCTTTCTGTGGACAGTTTGGCCTATCCAACTATCATACAAAAACCACAAGAAAATGTAAAACCTCATCAAAACCTTCTCAACAAAAAAGAAAAACCCTACCTTTTAAACCTAGAAAACCATTACCTCCCCCAGAAAATCCTAACCCAACTTCTATCCAAAACTCCCTAGTCTTACCAGCAATTGTCTGCCATAGATGCAAACAACCTGGATATATAACCAGATATTGCAAACTAAACAAAAGAATCAGCACCCTTGGTCTTGACAAACAAGTACTGAACCAATTAACCAACCTCTTTGTAGAAGCCGACAATGATGATTTAGAACGTGAAGAAGAAAACTATGCAAACCAACTTGAGAATGATGATGTTTCTTCTTTGTCTACTATCAGTAGTGATGAAGATGAAAAAATAAGGACAAGCAACTGTAAACATCTTGACAAAGGAACAGAACCTTCTCCTCGACATCGTAGAAACCTTTCTTGACCCTGAAAAGATACAGTTTTATCTCAATAAATTCAAAAAATCCCTAAACAAATCACCAAGTATTCCTTCGAACATTTCGTCAGACCCATTAGCCAGAAAGCCCGTACTTCTTAACAACTATAACCTTACAGACATTCTTAACCAATTCCCATCCAAACCAACAAAACCAATATCAATCCACGACCTTTAGCTTGAAATTGCTCTTCTCAAAGAGAAATTAGAGCAATTAAAGCAAAACAAAATTTAGATAACCTTGTCTTATAAAACTTTGCTACCTCACAACCAAAATCCTTTGAAACCATACCAAAAAACTCAATCATACAAGATGATACAGAATTCCTAAACCAATTGTCTAGAATTTTTACTAAAAATTCCTGGTCCAAATCAAACTAATTATCTATGATGATTAAATCCTTGAAACAGAAGCCCTCTTTGATCCTGAAGCTGACCTTAGTTGCATCTACGAAGAACTTATTCCTACTAAGTTCTTTGAACAAACTAAGGGGGTGCTTGTTTCACAGATTGAAATCGGAAATGGAAATGGAATCATAGACTCTGGTTTTGAAATTAAACTTTTTATTCCAATATTTAGCTTAGTTCACACATTAGAATTAGCATCATTCCAATTCCTGATGCTTGATTTGATGAGTATTTCGAAATTAAATGTAATTAAATTTCATATTTACTCCTGATATAATAATTCTTATAAAACATTTAAAGTACCGGCTCTTTATGGAGATTTTACTTTCAAACATTTAATTTATGATAAATATATCAATGTTTGTAAGTAAAATTGAAAAAATGTTATAGTAATATGCTTACAAAAAGGGAATTAATAGGTTATCTATTTAAGATAAATTAAATATTTTTAAAAAAAGAAATGGCCCATAAAGTATTATTAAAGTATCACTTTCCCATAAAAGACCAGTTCTTTATAATTTTTATCTATTATAAGAACAGAGTACCCATTTTCCCATAAACAAATTTATTTATCGGATAAAATAAAAATAAACTCGTTTTCCAATAAAATACCAGCTCTTTATGCCTTTTCTCCATAATAAGAACAAAGTACCCATTTTCCCATAAACAAATTTATTTATCGGATAAAATAAAAATAAACTCGTTTTCCAATAAAACACCAACTCTTTATGGCTTTCCTCCATAAATTATCCATTTTTCCATTTTTCCATAAGCTAATTTATTAGTTGGATAAAATCAGAATAATGTTAAATCACAAAGCCTACAAAG